TATATATATATATATATATATATATATATAACACATTTTCATGAATATCTCTTAAGGATATGCCTGAATATTTACAGAGTCCATGCATGAAAATTCAGTATATTTCAAAATAATGTAAAACTAGTATTGAGATTAAACTATTATTTAGCATGTAGTTGTTGTTACCAATACACACTCGTCCATACCTGCTTAAGCAAATGTTATGCACTTCCTATCCCTGCTATGCACACACATCTTGATATACACATAATTATTTTTCACATATTCTTTCCTCACCAGAGCGGGGTAGAAGTCGAGGAAACCGCCGCAAACGAGATTCTTTCTTTGGCACGCTAAAGAAGAGATTTAGTCGATCCAAAGTCCGATCAAAGAGCATGGAACCTGGCAGTAGAGATTTATCCATGGATCGGGATATGTCTGTAGGCCGTTCTATATCCATGGAAAGAACTGCTAATAGAGCCTCAGGTAGGTTCTCTTTTGAAGTGCACATATTTTATTATTTAACTAATAGTGGTGTGAAGTACGCTGAAGATGTGGGTTAGGTGTCTCTTAATCCTTCTGCTTGAGGGGTTTTCTTGCTGATGATGATGTTAGTTCTTTGTGGCTTTTGTTAGGAAGCTGTTTGGTGTGTATTAGAGATTAGATTGTTTTGTTCAAATTTCTTTGGAACAGAGACTATGAAACTGATATTTTAGAGGATCATTACTTTTAAGAAGTTTTGATACAGAAACTTCTCTACTGTAATTTTTCTGACATGTATGTGGGATCTCTTGTCTTCCTGTGAAATAGTTTAGGTATCAGACTTTTTTCTATAAATGATATCTATTGGTTGTAGATACTGTGATATACATATACATAGTGTCAAATATGAAAACTAAGGATACCCTACAAATTCTGAAATTAGGAATGAAAAAATGAGTACAAGCAAATTAGAAGTATTACAGGGACTGTTTGTCTGATTGTATAGGAAGAGCTGTTTCTGTTTACTGATTTTCATATTCTTTTTGATAATACATACAGATGAAGCCTGTATTAAAATGATAAAGGACAGTCAAAAGTTGAATTGGACCCAATAGAGATGAAATATGCACTTAAACTACATACCCTTCATATATCTATCTATCTATCTATCTATTTTTCTATATTATCTGTTTATCTGTCTATCTGTCTATCTATCTATCTATACATACATACATACATACATATCTATATCTATATCTATATCTATATATATGGTATCAGAGCCAGTGAATTGATGAAAGTCAGATGATACCAGTGAAAGACATTTCTTAAGTGAGTAGGAAGAGAGTGAAGTAATGCACCATCATTTTTTTTCTTATTTAGAGCTCTACCAATATCTTTCGGTAATAATAATATTTTTGGAATTGTTTTCTGCACTTGCACTTTCATATACTAATATTTTGACAGGATTAATTGCATAAAAGAATTGAACACACTGATATGCTAAATGTATATATTTTGTAAAAGAGATGGAGCATAAATGATTTGTCATAATCCTCTGTTGTATTTATTGGATGACCGTATTTCATGTATAGGAAGAGGTTGCAGGGGAAGGCGCCCTCATCATCACATCCATAAGATTATTAGCAGAACATGTTGATTATGAGTGTGAAATTAACATACTTTAGAAGAAAACTGGTTTACTGGCTTAGGACCATTGAAATGTCTGGCCTTTTAATAGCATGCTATAAGATAGTGTGATATTTGTGTTTTGTTTATTTTTCTCACCCTCTTTAGTTTGGTGTTAGGCCCAAAGATATTTGTACCACATTTTCTTGAAGCCCACTTTAACTTTTTATCATTTGGATTGGTAAGTATATATGGAGAGCAAAATTGTCTTGAAAAAAAAGTAAAACCCTTTGCACTATTGAGGCTTAAAGTGTTAGAATGTGGTATGAATGTTAACTTTGTAAGATGAGCTGTAGACTAACTTGTGTCCTGTGTGTGCCATCATGTGACAGAGGAGGAGCACGAGAACCCATCCCCCCTTCGGGACACCCTCTCACCACGTGAGTCTCAAAGTATGTCTGTAATCACTTTTCTGTCGTTAAATTTCTTTTTTTATTCTCCTTTATATTATTTCTCTTTAAGAAGTTTAAGAAGGGTTTTGGTAATTGTCTGTACAGTACTAAGGTGAATGGATTATCAATATATTTCCTTTATGTAAGTTCCTGTATTCTTGATTGAAGACTGTGTTTATATGGTATACTAGCTGCACATTTATGTTTTGTGGTTTTGGATATGATGTTGAAATGTGGTTAAACACTTGTAAAGACCATTTTTTCTTTTATCAAGGATGTCACAGTTAGTATTTTTCTTTCAGATACATATATACATTTAATGTTCTAGATACCAAATTGAGTTACAACCTGGAACTTATTTGTTCAGGCTTTGTTTAAGCTTTGTGTAAGATGGATTATGCTGTTAGAAAATAATGTAATAAGAATTATTGTAGATTTACTTTTTGGTAATTTTGAAAAACATATTACTGAAATGATGACTTTTAGAGTAGATTTATATTTAACGATAAATAGATAAATAGCTGAATAGATAGATAGATAGATACTTAGATGAATATGGATATATATATATATATATATATATATTCATATGTATATATATATGTATAAAAGATGTATAAATTATGCATAGCTTTCTATGTATTTTTTAGATATTAACATATATATATACATATACATACATATACACATATATACATAAATACACACAAACGCACACACGCACACGCGCACGCACGCACGCACGCACGCAGGCACGCACGCACGCACGCACCCACCCGTAATAACTTCGTATAGCATACATTATACGAAGTTATACGATGTGTGTGTGTGTGTGTGTGGGTGTGTGTGTGTGTGTGTGTATTTATATTTATATATGTATATATGTATATGTATATGTTCGTATAACTTCGTATAATGTATGCTATACGAAGTTATTACGATACATTTATATATGTAAATATAAACCTATACATATATATATATATATCTGTGTGTGTGTGTGTGTGTGTATTTATATTTATATATGTATATATGTATCCATATATATATATGCATATATATATGTGTGTGTATATATATATATATATATCCATATTCATCTAAGTATCTGTGTATCTATCTATTCAGCTATTTATCTATTTATCGTTAAATATAAATCTACTCTAAAAGTCATCATTTCAGTAATATGTTTTTCAAAATTACCAAAAAGTAAATCTACAATAATTCTTATTACATTATTTTCTAACAGCATAATCCATCTTACACCAAGCTTAAACAAAGCCT